CGTCGAGCACCAAAGGTGAGCACCAAGTTCCCGTCAAATGGCAGTCCGAGAGAGAGAGAGAGAGAGAGAGAGAGAGAGAGAGAGAGAGAGAGAGAGAGAGACCACGATGAGCACCAAGTCCCCGTCGAGCACGAAAAGCACGGATCGACGATGAGCACCACCCGTCGAGCACCAAAGGAGAACACCAAGTTCCCGTCAAGCGGCAGTCCGAGAGAGAGAGAGAGAGAGAGAGAGAGAGAGAGAGAGAGAGAGAGAGAGAGAGAGAGAGAGCACGGACCACCACGCAGGTAGAGCACCGACCACCGAGCACACGCGCACCGACCACAGAGACGCGCAGGTTCTGAAAAGTGGCCGGTGATTGGAGGGGTGGTCGACAACAACAATGTGGGCAGGCGATTGGAGGGGTGGGCCGACAACAACAATGTGGGCGGGCGATTGGAGGGGTGGCCGGGAACACCGAAGCGGGTGGCCGGGGCAACGAAAGCAGACGGGCGGGTGATTCGGCGCTTCCAGTACCAATTGGTGACCGGGCGGGCCACGATTACGGGCGGACGGGCGGGCGGATGATTGGAGGGGTGGGCCACGATTACGGGCAGACGATTGGAGGGGTGGGCGGACCTGCACTTCGGCGCCTCCGGTAGCAACCGACAGAATCTGAAATCTGACATCGCACGGCCCGAATCGCTGGCCTGTAACCACGGCGGACGGCCCAGATCGCAGACCGATCATAAAACTTTATGATCGACCTGCGATCCGCGCCGTCCACGGTGGTTACCAGCCTGCAATTCGGGCCGTGCGATATGGCGTTTAGCAGTTATTGTAGTAGGTGTAGATGTATGGGAATATTGGCACTCGACTAAATATAAACAAGACTTCATATCATGGTTGAACAATGATCTGGCTTTTATTGCAAAAAAGTGTAATGGATTTTCCAAACTTCAAGCAAAAAGTCGTTATCTTCAAGAACATTCAAGAGCAAATCCTTAATTATGAACTTCAAGAGCAATCACAAGATAATCCTTATCAAATCAACATCCAGGATCTCAAGAACCAACTGTTAACCTTCGCCCAACATTGTTGGCAAGGTCACCTTATCAAAGGAAAGTTAACTAAATTTTTGATTGAATGCCAAATGGATGTATCCTTGTTTGCTCTAGCCCACACCCGGGCTAAACGGACAACTATAGAAGGGTTTCAAGATCCTTTTGAGGCTCCTCGCTCAGATTTAACGACTTCATCGGCAGGTAGTCTGAAAATTGCTTATTTTTTTTCAAAAAACTCTTCACTTCAGACAAAGACCCTAATTATCAATAGGAAGATGATAGGGCAATAGAAAGCTTCCTGTCTCCCTTAACACAATCACTAAATGAAGAACAACCCCAACATTTGGAGAGACCACAAGTGAAGGAGGAAATTTGGACACCGTTGCTACAATCGGATGGGCAGACAGTCTTCCCAAATAATTTTGGGAAGCAATGTGGCCAACCTTTTCTTCAAATCTGATGGACTTTTTTTTATTTAGTCCTGGAAATAGGACAAATAGGGGAGATGGTAGGACAAGGCATCCTTACCCTTTTATATAAAAAATGGAATAAAACAAATATCTGAAACTATAGACCAATCACGTTGCTTACAGTGGTTTATAAGTTGCTGGCTAAACCAATCGGATGACCCTATTATGCCTGGAATTATCATGGTTTCCCCGTACCCAAACAACCGGACAATAGGACACGGACACTGGACCCGTGTCAGGATCAAACCAGACATCCAAACATCCGGACCCGGACAGTCTGGTTTGCTGTGTCGATGTCCGGTAGTCCAAAAAAAAAAAAAAAAAAAAAAAAAAANAAAAAAAAAAAAAAAAAAAAAACAAGCAGAGAGCTCAAATGCACCAAAATTCCATCCAAATAAGAGAAAAGTAGTGAAATAGTGTGCCAATGTCATCGCCCTCTAGCCCCACCAGGACAATATTCAATGTCGCTAATCCCTGTTTGGCATCATCGCCCTCCCATCCCCGGTTGTCCCTCCCATCGGCCAGACCCTTCTCCCACGTCACAAAATTGCAAGGAATACAAGCAAGCACGATAAACAGAAAATCAAGTTGCGAAATCACGCAGAAGTCCAGATAGCCATGTACCAAACAGAGAGCTCAAATACACAGATTCCATTAAAATAAGAGCAAAGCAATGAACTCGTGTGCCAATTTTATCACACAGAGGGCCCTTTCAGGTCTTGTCCGGTTGGGGTACCGGTTCTAAGAAACCATTAGCATTATTTTTCCGCGATACCCTAAGCCCAGGTAAACGGCCTGGGAACCCCCCAAAAAATTTTGAATTTTTCAAAATCGGGGTCCAACCAGACCCTCCGAACCGAACACCGGACCCGGACACCGAACATCGGACTGTCTGGATCGGGATCCGGACGTCCGGTTGGTAACCATGAAAATTATTCATCCCTCGCAAACAAGATTTATTAATGGAAGACACATCCAAGATAATATTCTCTTAATCGATGAAATTATCAAACTTTCTAGACAATCTAATCAAAATGCAGCCTTTGTATATATAGATTTTGAAAAGGCTTTGGTCCCAACAGGCTTATATAGACACCCCCCAAAAGGCTTATGACCATGTAGACTGGCGTTTCCTAGATGCCTGCCTACAAAAGATGAACTTTGGTCCCAACATGAGGAAGTGGGTTGGGATCCTACA